GTTTAACACTTTTCTAAATACTGAGAGTTTGGATTTTCGATAAATACATTTTGTTTTATATTACATATCGCGTCATTGACTAATGTAATATGTTCTAGGCTTTCATAAACAGCATACTTTATGTTGGCGTATATTGGATAGAGGAAGAAACGTCCGACGATCAATTAAAATATTAATTTGAGTACTTGATATTCATTCAGTGGAAAAACTGCTAGGCTATGAACTGGGGTGATTGCATATACACATACATACTTATTTTTTATGGAGCGTATGGTGCTCGGATTGTGCGTTCTATATGTGCGTGTAACATGAAATTGGGAACGGAAACTTCTATCTCTATGTGAATTTTGAAATGATTTAACATATCTGCACATTCTATGATTGCATGTAATACATGCTACCACACGTGCCCATCTATGCTTGGTTGTTTATCACTCGAATGTTTCTGACATCTTAATTTAAAGAGTATATGTGTTTACAACATATTTGGGAATAGATCCACGTTTCTCCACTGATGAACTGATCAGTAACTCATCGGAGTGTTTGGTTTGCATAAAAGCTTCCGAAATTGATAGGAACGTATAGTGTAGAATAAAATGTGTCTGTCTGCACTACGTAATAATAATGATTATTATAATTATTATTGCAATGGAAGAACACATGTAATCAAATTCCCATTTATTAGTACATTCAGTGGAATAACAACATACTTCCTCATAAATTTTGAATTAGAGATTTGGATTTTATTTATATTTTCCCTGATAACAATTCTATTTGGCTTGCCATTATTCGACTACAACAGTCAGATAAAGTTGAATGTCGACTCGCATATTATAATTAACCTAATTCAGAATAACAGTTATAATTATCTTGACAATTTCGTTTCTTGGTTAATAGTTTCCGCCTATCAGGCATCACTTCTCAATGTTCATTGTAGACAAATATTGCTCATTATTTCTGCTGATCCTTAACTAATTAATAGTTTTATGAATTAATTACATAAATGAATGTCATTAAACAATTTAGTCTGTTTCTAAGATTTTGCTAAAATCAAAATCATTTGAATGAACAAGCTTATCTCGTCATTGTAATATCACTATTATCTAGAAACATGTTTGGAGAATATATAATTATTTACTGATTAACACATCCACTAATTACCTACAAACATCATAGATCCTTCATTACAATGAGATAACGGCTAGTGGATAATTTTCATTCTGTGCATTGTTATTAGAAGTTCAATCAGATGTTGAGCTTCATGTATAATTTACTCGAACACCTTCTTACTGAGATTAGAATTAAAGCTACAATGAATTCGGAGTGAGACATTCATCTCTGTGTCTGCTTGATAAATAGGAATACTTCTTCAATATCAATAAAATTCATTGTTTCATGTAATGATCCAATATTTTAAGTAATAAAGGAGGTTGTGTAATGATCAATTGGTTAAAGAAGAACAGGGAGATACATGTCAGAAATTCGTAGTTTCATATTTTACTATGCTTTCTATAATAACGGACGAGTTTCCACTGATAATACGTGTCTAATTATATTTCCATACACAGTTACTACATGTTGCATGTAACATAAACTACGGTTACACCATTAGTATAAATTTGTATAGCCCTTAACAGTAAAGCTTTCTACTTTTAATATTTTGACTTGTGTTTGACATGAATTTCAACCAGTTTATTAATTCAGTATTCACTGATCTATGGAAACTCTAAATAGTTAAAATTATTTAGACATTCCTTTGATCAATGGTTCAGTTACATTGAGTTATGTACATATAATCGATTTGACCCGAAAACTTATATGTCACATGACTGAACAGTGTATAATATCTTGTCATTACAATACATGTCGTATATGTGTAGAGTGTTTTGTGTGTATTACTTCTTACTAGTTTGATTGCTGGAAGTTGAGCAATAATATTTCTCTCGAAGTTAGGCATAAAGTATAGATTTTTCTTACTCAGTGATGTTAAACGGTATCCTATTGATTCCGCTGATATTCATAAACAAAGAACTATCACATCACTATCGAGTAATCCGACATTAATAAATGTTTTGATATCGCATTTCAATTCGGTTGTTTAACTAACATTACAGATCAGGCTAATAACAGAATACACTGTATTTCAAGGGCGAAGAATAGCAAGCACAACGACAATCGGTATATTTAGAAACAATAACTCATGGAATGTTTTTTATAATTTCCAAATCGGAGTGAAATTATGGTATGATACCACCTACGTCTTGGGTGATACAATGCAAACGTACGTTGAGATGCTTTCTGGAACACTAACTGTACGTGCTTTTGCTGTAACGCTTCCAATAACGTCTATGGAGCAACCCATATCCACTACTCCTGTAAGCTTGATTTATGTTTTCATTTATTAATTCATCTAAACAATATGTTTGAGGGTTAGTATTGCTTTGACTTTCGTACATTCTCCCAATCCTTCTATAAATACGTGGTGGTGTCTTTGTAGCACAGCATTTTTCTGCTTCCACTCTAATGGGTTATCATTTTGATTCGACTCCAGACGTTGTTAATCAAATTCTTCACTAGTTGTCGTGCCTATCAGATCTAATCCAAACAAGTCAAGTGCTGGATTCTTTTTAAGGTATACTGTTACATTCGTTGTCATACTACTTTTAGAAAAAGTGCACAGTACTTCTCCAAAAATATTCAACTTCCCACCAGATGCACTGTGCGTTAGTTGTGTTTTTGGATGAACTGTGGGACTCCCGACATGTCTCCAAGTTTCTGGGCTGATGAGAGTGTCATCAGACGCTGTATCGAGTCGAAGGCGAGTACGTTGTTTAATAATATCCAAAGTTACATACTTTCTTCGGCGGTAACTTCGTGCTTTGGTCTGAGATATCAATATTTTGTGAGTTATCGCACCAGATCTGTATTTATTTGAAATAGGTTTTCGAAGAAAGACGGTGGGTTTTTTTGTACAGCTGGATTTGTTATGACACTTACGATGACATTCAGTATAACGATAGTTTTTATATGGGAAAATCTTCTTGTAGTGCCACTCACCGTATAACCAGAACTACGGTGGAGGTTGTTTGTTTCAGCTGTCATGTGTGCGTACAAAAAAATATTTCCGACGATTTATTACCTGTACGTATGGTGGCCAACCCCTGTTTTCAACCATAGATATGTCATGTTTTAGGTTCATCAACGTCTGACATTCACTAGTCACCTCTTATAGCGCCATATTTAGACACTGTTCAATTTTACTCAGGATTCTGTTTCTGACGTCGACATCTTCAAGCGACTGAAAGCTGTATACAAAAACAAAATACTTAAACTGGTCTTCTATCATTGCTGATAATTTGAAACGCTTACTATGCCAGCATGTTGCACCCGGCCATCGTCTCCAGCTTTATTCAACTTCAGAAATTGGTAATGAATATTGAACAAAGATGACTGTTCACCGAAAATTTGCGACAAAGTTACAACCGTTGCATCAAATGAAACGTCTCTGGGGTTCTAAGGGAAATGAAGTTGGTGTAGCGTTCATGTCCAGCTGTACCAAGTTTGCGTAGCAGTACTCTGTTCTTTGCGGCATCGTCAAATTTTTCTAGGTCGACCCTGAACACATCTTTGTATTTCTTGAATCACGATTCAAATGTAACACCAGACAAACCATCAAAATGAAATTCATGGATAGAATTAATAATGTGGTCAACATTGGATTTGAGTGGATCATCTGTAAGCCCCCTTTGATGTAGGCTCATTTGCTGGGTTAGAGCTTCCAGAATACGAATCTGGAACTGTTCATAACGTTTTTCTTGACGCTCAAGCAAGGCTTCGACTTGGTCAAAGATAAATGACATTTTGATAAGTTAACCCCGTCACCAGTTGTTATATCTAGTTTAGGTTCTTAATATACCACGTATAACCTGAGCAATCGAACGCTAGATCACTCCAAGTCGCAAATAAAAAGAAAGTAGAAGAACACTTGATAAAGTGCTTGATGGGTAAGAATCAAAATGTACAGAAAATCATGAGTATTTAGCGCTTTTATATCAACATTATAATTCAACCAGTCCACGAATAAACATGTTATGCCACCGGCCAATAGTAGCATGCCAATTTGATATTCTAGAAGTCCCCATTACTTTCTGATTAGATGGAACTCTTTGGCTTCTCTATCGTCTCTGGAGGCTCAGTTGTAGTTTTCGGAAGCTGTCTCAACAATATGAAAGTGATCTGCATTGGCTGCACATGCACCAAATATGACTGGTCAGAATTCAATCAGAAAATCTACAGCCGGATAATCCAAACTCCTACAAATTAAGTCGAAACACTTTTGTTCTGTAGGTATACTGATTTTGGTATCGAATCCCAGATCACATCAACCACCATTTCCTATACAGGTTGATTTTTTGTATCATAGTCTAATTTCGAGTCACCATCCATCTGTCACTGAATTGACTGAGCGTGAACTAATGTGCTCCACTGAAATAAATTTTTGACCTAATTAAAAGGGGTACAGATTTAGTCAAGATCTCTTGTTTAGCACTAAAAGGTACGGCCGTTTATTTTACGATATTTGACTTAGTGATTGTTGATTTATACCGTAGCAATTAGTGGTTACAGACGTCAGCAATTGAAATATAAAAATATCAATGTTTTAGCATGGAGCAGTTTAAATTGCACAGCTTTATAAATGCAGCATGAAATATAGTACTACACCACGTTGGCTCCTGGTAATTTTCAACCAAATCTGGATGTCCTACTTACCTAAACACTTTTAGTTTAAATCAGACCTAAATTAATCAGTCATGCTGTTTGCCTAACATTTATTATTCCTTGCAAATCATTTCAGATGAATGCTTATAACGCAAATATAAACTACATGTAAATGTAAACTGAAATTGTATCAATCTCACAATTTTGCATTAATCAATCTCACAATTTTGCATTCAATCAATTATTTTTTGTTATCATTTGCAAACACTATTTGAAATTAGGTCTCTAAAACTCCTGTAGTTACTATTGAAAAAGTCGAACCACGAAATTCACAACCAACAGTGAACTTTAGTACAATTGTAGAAGTTCGAGTGAAATTCATTGAAGACTTTGTCTACATGCCGATAACTTTTCAACTACAAGTAAATTCAAATGAAGCAATTATAATCAGACAGAGTATTCAAACAATTGGATATCTATTAAAAGCTGTAGCACTTGTGGGCTATGATTTTTCTGTTAAACCGTAAGCTTGATTATCAACCGTATTCTTATGTATATGTAAATACGAATACTTAATTCATTACATATATATATACTCATGTATAATGTTACAAAAATCAAGTATATGGATATGGATCAATTCCGCGACATCAAACGTGGGCTAAACTAACTACGAATACTTGTAATTTACTATTTTCAAACAAGAATCCCTTGTTGAAATACACAATATCTATCAAACTTTCAACTTTTGGAGATTATTCTCAAAGACTGTCTTGCATAATTCGTCAATAAATCTGAATGTATTATCCAGAACTCTATGTCAGTTTGTTTTATCAGTTTTCCAAATTACATTTCACATATCAGTAGATTGCTGTGCAAAGAAATGCATTATATTTTAATGAGTTATCATTTCAGAAATATCCACTGAGTGTTAGATTATAGTGAATTTGAAATTTGATTTCTACATTTTTTCATATAGACAAGATTTAGGTATTTGAGAATATACTTTACGTCTCAGGATATAGAAATTGTACATTATTATCCTTTTGTTAATCCATACTTTCGTTAAGAATTCAACACGTGTAGGGGTTGTAGATTGCCACATACATTCAATTACCAGTCACTGTAGTAGGGACCTAAATGTAGGTAATCTATAACGAGTTAATATTCAATTTTCATTTATATATATAAATGTTGTAGTATCCATGATGCTGACCGTTATCCTTTATATACGTTGAAAAGACTGAACATAACTGAATCACTGTTGATCAAACCCGTTTGACGTATCAACATTATTATTTTCATTATTACAAAATGTGCCTTATCACAATCCTTAACAATATGCGTAGCCGATTGTATACCAAATGTTTCTCAAAAGTTAATTGAGTAAAGACAAAGTGAACTTGGCACATACTATATGATTTTTATTAAAACATCCTATTATTCACTTGGTATTGTTTCCTTGAAACTTCCCATTGATGTGTGGGATTGCAATTGATCAGTCTCTTAATGGCATATGTGCACACTGTGCGTATTGTCTTGCTATTGCCATAATTCATAAGCATAATAAGCAAAGATGGATAGTGGCTAGCAGTGGTATCCAGGACGCGCGTTTCGTTCTATTGAGGACTCAGTAGCTAAGTGGATAACACGATGGCGTTTGAAGCGAACGGCAATGGGTTAGAGTCCCAGAGTGAACATCACATCTAAGATGCAGGTACATCCGGCTGACGAGTCCCAAATTGGACGAAACGCACGTCTTGGATTCCACTGCTAGCCACTATTCATCTTTACTTATAATCCTATTATTACTATCATTTCGATGAACCATGAATAAAATGAAAATTTAACCTAACCAGCTTCAATAACTACTTCTATATTTGTTGTTCACACTTTTGGCAAAACACTCATGAATGTGGTGAAATTATGCACTTTCTACTCACTAACTAACTGTGATTATCAAAATATTACAGTAAAACAACAACTCAGCCCCAACAACCTTTATAAAAATGATTTCATACTGAACTATTTTTAAATCAATTAACAAGAAAGAAATTCACATCATTGGAAGTTTCATTGATTACACTTAACGCCTCTCATTAATTTTGTTTTATAGTAACTAACTATGATAATTTGAAATCATTAATTTATTCATATCTTAGTTTGAAGTTGGTCTTCATCGGTAATGATCCCTTCTATGAATTTTAAATCAGAAGTTGCACTACAGTATTTCTCTAATTGTAACAAATATCAACAAATCTTTCTTCCTTTTCTTTCACTTTCCTTTTCTCGATTACCAAAGTAATTTGGCTACATTGCAAATAAATTCAGTGTATTTCAATGAATCATGTACAGATGCTCAGTGTGATATTGCAATGCGTTATTCGATTATTCCAATCACCACAAACCCTTTGATAATTACAACAAACTTTACCTCTGGTGTATCCAGTTTTACGAAAACATTAACTATTTCTCCACGAGATAACTACTCTACTGTGTTGGTATGACTTCAAACAATATTTTTTACATTGAATTTTACTTTAAACTTTACTTCAGTTTGTTAACCCTACCATAAACTACTGGCTGTGATTTAGGTTTACACAAATATTGATAACTGGTTAGAACAAGTATGATTTTTGCAACGTGACATACATACACAGGTAGAAGTGATGTACAACAGGTTGTTCACTTCGTTGTGTTGTAAAATTTGATAAATTTGAAGACGACTTTTTTGTATGATGATTTAGTAACCAGCAGAAGCAGAGTAATATTGAATACTGGATACCTAGCATTTATGATACACACTATGTTACTAAATTATTAGTGAAAATTCATTAATTTATAATATTCTTCCATAAATCACCTCGTATATTAATCCTATGAGGATTTACTTTCGATTTGAACAGCAAACCTGACTCCCTGATTGACTTACATGACAGGTTAATGGATCCATCAGGAAATTCTAAAATTCATCTTCAATGAAACCACTGAAGAACATTGTAATTTTTTTGTCGAGTTTATTAATTCGTGATTATAGGGGTAAGTTGTAAGTGTTTAGTTCATAACACATTTTATTTAAACTTTTACAGAGTATAAGAGGAATTTTCATTTATTAATTTTTTAAGTCATCAAGTCAGGCTCCAGGAGTTGACCTAATTTCCATTGATTCAAAAACAGTCAAAAATCAAGTTATACCGAACTATTTAACATCACTGAAGTTAACGCTAACTCTGAAACCCAATGTATGGCAGTCGATATATTTTCAACTTTATGCTCCAGGTGCCTACCAAGAATACATATTAGTCAAGCCAATAATTCTAAGCCAATCAACATCATTGCCATATGTCAGCTCAGTTTCGGACTCTTTGGAAAATATGGTTTATATCAGTATAGATAAAGTTTATTACGAAGGTTTGTTAACATGTACTGCACTGTTTTACTTATAGTAGTCGGTATTGATATGATTACTAATACACTATCTCTCAATAGCGAACGAGTTTATAGATGAATCCTTTTCTCTGTATTTAATAAGGCTACCGAATAATGTCACGGCAGTCTTCAAGCTGATTTCTCGTCAGTTAATAGGGTTTTATTACAAATTCAATAATGTACACATTTTCTGTTCTAACTGCATATGCACACTCTTATCTACGTGGTTGCACTTTCATATTAATCCCCCTGATTTTTGTTATGATTTCATCAAAACAATGGATGTAGATTGTTCCCATGAGTGTTATTCTATTCAGCTCACCGTTTCATTTAAACCATATGCATTGAATCATTTCCTCATAAAATTTTAATTTTTGATTGATAATAAACAGATCAACTACACTTATCAAGACACTCAAATATTTAATTTGCAGAACGTGTTTCCCTCCGTTAAATAATCCAGTGAAAGTAAATCGATTTCAACTCAGTTCAAGAATTCCAAGAAATTAGTGACGGTTTGCCAGTAAATCAAGATAATTTCCTATGTCTACTCTTTTCTTTGAAACACTTATATAGATATTTCTGTGAAAAAAATCTCCATCGTTAATCATTTGACCGTATTCTTGATTGTAATTAGTGTCTGCGATCAAGTCTACCATTCCTTAAATTTATTGTTCCAAAGAGAACGAAATTCATCTACTTCCCAAAAACCATCAATATCTATGGAACTCAGAAAATAATTTTGTCACAGTCTCTTAATCAAACTATGAATTTATGAACATGGTAGTATTAAGCTTGCAGTTTACAATGCTCTGCTAGTTTGAAATTTATCCAGAAAGAATTAATGATATTCCCACTGACATTCCTATATCGAAATTAGTTTCAGTTATTCCAACTAAAAAATAATTATACTAGCCTACGTTAAGTAATCTTAAAAGATTTATTATCTGGTTTAATATAGCAATAGTTTATTTGAAATAATGATGATCAGTCATAAGACTGATATAATAGATTCAGTTCTAGTCAGTAATTAAAGTGAACGTTCTTGAGAAACTTCATACCACTTCTGTTTTATTTGTAACAATAACTGTATTGACTAATCATTGTCGGCAACCTAATCCCGTAGAAAACAACCTTGTGAAAACAAACGCTAATCAGAATAGACAAATTAAAGCAATATAACTCTGCTCTCCGAGTTGAAGTATCTTCATTCAGAAGAACTATGAAGCCTAGTGGTGAAGGCCGAGATTCTTCGGAAGTCATGAGACCGATGCTCATTCCAACAACCACAGCAACAATTTTTATAGGTACACGGAACGTCCGGACAATGTGGGAGACCGAGAAGACTATTCAAATAGCTGTGGAAATGGAGAAATACAACTTAACGGTGCTCGAAATCATTGAAGCCGATTGGATCCAATCCGCACAAAAAAGATAGATACGAGTGAGATGCTGCTATACTCTGATCATGAAGAGGGAAATTCTCTTCACACTCAAGGAGTTGCATTGATGCTGTCCAGTGAAGCATGAAATCTACTTACAGAATGGGAGTCTGTGGTGTTTGAATGAACCAATGATTCCTTGGTACTTATTGAACGCTTGATTTCGAATTCTAAATACAGTACATTCGTTTGTGCTTATCTGTACTTCTTGATCCGATTACGTTATTTCTGGGATTATTAGTTCATACTATAATTCAAATAATTTTAATTATCACAGAATCTCATGGATTCAGAATCATCGAATCATCCTTCAAGACAAGAAGGAGGAAATCACAATGAATATTATCCAGTGTTATGCACTCACCAATGATAGCAACGAGGACGATAAAGAACAGTTTTAAGAGTAGCAAGACAATCACCGAGATTCAGGAACAGAGGAACAGGTGAATAGAACACTTTGAGAAACTTTTGAGTAAGCCAGCCCCACTGAATCCAACGGACATTGAAACAGCACACACAAACCTTCCTATAGACATAGAAGTTACTGCAAACATGTGCCACATTCTATTCAGGAAAATTTTGGAGGAGGAACAAGTGCCACTGACATACTGGAAAGAAGAAAAACTCATCAAGATACCAAAGTAAGTAGATCTGAGCAAATGTGAGAACTGCAGAGAAATCACACTACTATCAGTACCAGCAAAAGTATTTAACAGAGTGTTGCTCGACCAGATGAAGTATTCAGTAGACGTTCAACTTCGAGATCCACAGACTGGATTTCGTAAGGATCGGTCGTGCACAAACCGAATCGCGACGTTACGTATCGTCGTTGAGCAATCAATTGAATAGAACTCGTCACTGTATATCTACACCCTTGACAAAGTAGTCGACATTGTAGATAAGAGGACTATGTAAAATTCCCCGACACTACGGTGTACTTGACAAGTCAATATCATGCGGAAACCAGTAGATGGATTATAGTGCAAAGTGGTGCACGTATGACAGCTGACAGATGGATCACAATTGAGGAACGGAGTAAGACAAGGCTGCTTACTCTCTCACGTACCTGGGAAGCATCATCGATGAACATGGAGGATCGGATGCAGACGTAAAGGCGAGGATTGGAAATGCAAGTATAACATTCCTACAATTGAAGAACATGTAGAACTCGAAACATCTATCAACCAATATCAAAGACACAATCTTCAATGCGAAGGTCAAGACAGTATGTTTGGTCGTACGGAGCTGAAACTTGGAAAACTACTAAAAGAATTTATAAACAATTATCTACGTAATATACTCGATATCTGTTGACCGGATACTATCAGCACTAGTCTACTGTGGGAGCGAACAAACCAATTTTCAATTGGATAGGAATATATGAAAAGACAATGGAAGTGGATAGTACAGTCATTGGGGAAATCATCAGACTGCATCACGAAGCAAGCTGTTACTTGGAATACCGAGGGGAAGAGGAAAACTGGAAGGCGGAATAACACACGTTGTCGGAATTTGGAAGCGAAGATGAAAAGAATGAATAGCAATTAGAAAGTGTTGAGAAGGATTGTCCAGGACAGAGTTGGATGGAGAATGCTGGTTGGCGACCAATACTTCTCCATGTGCGATAGCAGGTGTAAGTAAGTAAGTAATTAAGTACTTGTTTGAGATCGTCCAGCTAATTTGGTAGATGATATCCATCTTCTTAATATTCAACTCAATGTTATTTTTTTACATAATGCTTGCACAAACTTTTTTATTTCCTCATGTTATTTTACTTATTATTATAATCTGTTCTGGCAATTATGATACTTTACTTCCATATATGTTTTGATAAATTCTGCATATCCTTACTGTATATCCACTTTAAAATCTAAATGTGAAATCCCACTTCAGGTACTAATTGTTTTTAGATTGATAATTTTGCATGCATACGTGCTGGTGCATAGTTGAAAGTAGATTAGTTGACGAGGAATTCCTTCGTTTATCGAACGTTCTTGAAACCTAGTGGATGTGTTACAACTTAGTACAGTATTCTAATATACCTAAACATTACTAATTGATCATCTAAAATATCAATATTTGATTTTACAATCAAACAATCTGAACACTTTCAAACAAATATTCCTTCAGCTGATCGAAAAATCTTCAAGAACGTTATGTTTGTAGTAGGTCGAGTGTATTAATATCCATTTCGTATGAAATTGTCGTTTGTCTATCCCAATAAGAACTATGTTTTCTTGTGTAGATGCACGTAGATGTAATAAATTGATAGTTGTCAAAATTCAAGCATTCAAATTCGCCTCATTAGGAAATTAGACTGTCAATTTGTATTTTACGTTTATAGGAATTGCAACCGACCAAACGACTTCGGCAGCAAATCAGTTGACTTACTATATCCCAATGTTCACTGCAAATTCTGTCAGACCACTGGTCAATTTCACTTACAATCTGACAGTTAATTCAATCTCTATATTTGGTAATTTCATATTTACTACCACCACTCCAGCAGTAAGTCAGAGTACACATTTTCATTCAACTTGCTTCAAATTACATTAAGATAATTTTGTTACTTGACTTATTTACATTATTTAATGGAATCCGTATACAATACTAATGGTTAAAGTGTTATTTTCAAGCAAGACCCTGATGTTTAGATTACGTAGACTCGATAAAACTTTTATCCATATTGTTGATGCATATTGTAGTTATATTGAGGTATTTTAAGAAAAGACAGGTTTGAGGATACCACTTATCTGTGGTTGTAATTAGATGCTGATAGTTCGTCAAACACAATTAGTACCGAATTCTGGCATAAAATCGTTATTCACACTAGAGGATCTTCTCAAATAGTTATTAAGTTTTTCTGCTGTTCGTTCGGTTCAATTTATAACTGGCAGAATATAATATGAATTGTATTTCGTTTTTCACCTCAGCTAAATGCAAGTTAATAAGTCTAATTAGTTCAAGGTAATAACATATATGAGAATAAAACATAAACCATCCGTCAGAGGACAATCATTATTTTCCATGACAACATTGTGACAAGTTTAACAGGTTTATCAATAATTTGAGCAGAATACGCTAATATTACGCTAAATGATTTTCTTACATTCTCAGTTGTCGCTTCCATATTAAATTGAGCCCTACTGTAACATTTCAGTAGAATATTTCTATGATTTTATCTCGCAATGAAACATGAAATTATCATCATCATCATCATCATCACTTCACATCATGCGTACAATGCCGTAATTTTGTTCTCCTTAGTTTCACAAGGAAGACTTGAGTAATAACTCATCTCGAATGTTAACTTATAAATACACAGGATCTAGACGGTTCGTCTCATTGGTGAACTAAAAATGGATGTATTAAGTCACAGCCTTAACAACTCTGTGAATCGTGCCTAGAATACATTTATAGATCATAAATTGTGTATAATTATGTCATATATTTTTAATAGTAATGTTAATAAGGAATGATGGATGGTGGCAAGCAGTGGAATCCAGGACGCCCGTTCCGTTCTGTTTGGGACTCGTCAGCTGGATGTATCTGTATGTAATCTTGGATGCAGATACAATCCGTAGAGGATGCACATATGTCAACAAGAGACTGACCGATTGCAGTACGAAACATCGATGGCAAGATTCAAGCAAACAATGCTAAATGAAGTAACGTTAATAAGTTGTAACGATAAGTCAGAAGTGTGAAACGTCTTACATATTAACTTAATTTGTTACTTCCGGAAACCTGAGATTGTCCTCCAAACTGTACGCGATCGGTCCTTAATCAAGTGGTTTCAGCTAGCTTCCTCACCAATGGACTAATTTGTAACAGGAAGAGTTACTCATGAAGACGTTTGGCTTCAGTAGTTTAACATATATTGACCTTCACATGAACAATAATCCACTCCAGTCGTATGTCGTTCTACCACTAGGGTTTCTTTTGAAGAACTATCTTAGGTTTTTACTCCTGTTTTAGTGATGAAAATTCAATCACTGTCACAGTGTTAAGACATTGGCTTAAGAAATGGTTCGTAAATGTCATCTAGTCTTCTAGAATCATCACTATTTTCCGTAAAATCTTGAACTTACTAATCAATGAAACAACAGTTAAAAAACACTTTATATCTCCTCTTATATTCCATTCATGTAGATTACGTTGACAGTTTTTATAAAAATGTCATTAAACTTTCTTCATGCGAAGAAAGATGTGAAAACAGTTTCCAAGTTTTAGAGGACACACTTGACAAAAAATAACATTGAAAAGTGACGTATTAACTTAAGTTCATTAATGAGATTGTCAACAAAATTTCACATAATTTCATTATTTTGAAAGTTGGATTTAATTTGGATTTATTTGCTGAAAAAACATGACACTATTTCCTAACTAATTGTAATTATCAGTATAAGGTCGTGGAGATTGTTGAGTTTTTATCGAGATTATTAAGCGATCTATGTTAGAGCACAAGTGAAAACCTGCAAGGACTGGACAACCGTTCCGTCATAGTACTCAACTTAACAGGGCGTCTCTACGATCTTTCACGCATGCTTTCTGCCTCGCGTGAGAACGCTCATCCTCCAAACCACCGGGCGGGCATCCAACAATGTTAATTTCTGATCATGTAGTGTGAGACAGTTACTCACAGAATACAATGGAAGATGGTCGCGCAAAATCATGTATTGGTTGAAGTTATACATTAATGCCGCGTGAAGGATCGTGGATACTCACTGATGAGGAGTCCCATTCTAGGACAAATGGTTTACAATTGTGATCTAACATCGATCGGTTTATGATTTTAATTAATTGTAAGTAATTGACATTCATGTTTATGTTGATCTAAAATATCAGTTGAATATACATCTATGAATACATTAATCCAATGTTTGTGTTGAAGTTAAACATGTTGTGCATGCATGTACATTATTCTGTGATTTTGCCAAGCAATTTTTAAATTCGGGATTGTAAAACATTTTCTTGCTAATTGTAAAACTCTTTTCATACAACGTGGTAATTTCAGTCTTGATATTTTTTAAACATAGGCATTTACTACAACTCTTACAAATACTTGGACATTAAATTATCCAAGTGTCATTAATGGATATAAACAGCTGTGTATTGGAGGACCGTTTGAATTTATATTGAATATGTGTCCGATTGAAAGACGTTGTTCATTCTATACATACTGGATCAACAGAATTTTTAATAATATTGCAGCTCTAAATGTTACTAAAGTAAATGTACAACAATTTAATCCAGATGTGTGGTTGTCAACCTCGTTCTCTTTAAATTTGACATATGAACGTAGGTTAGTTTAAACTGCTTAAATCCTACATTGGTCATTGATTGTTTTATATGCTACTGTAACTAGACTAGCGTTCCATAAATGTACACACTTACTTTCAGTGATCGAAAGTGAATTGTGTGAAATTATGAGATCTAGATAAGAATTATACTGGTAAATCGAGAAATGGATTTAGTTGAACAGCTGGAGCTGAATACTTACGTTTGACATGATTTTCATTGTAATTGTATGCGCTAAATATTCATACTTTTGCTGAAAGTTATTTATCACTTTACATTCACAACGCAATAAATAGTAAAACAATCTATTAATACACCGATTAAGACTACTTATGAGTCAGTAATCTTATGCTTGATTCGGCCCATTTTTTACCTCAGAGCAATTCATTTTTTCACATTTCAAATTATGTCAATAATTGAAGACCACCAAACCAGTTCATTCATACAGAGGAAGAGGAAGCAGTAAAATGCAATGATGAATTCATGAAATCATCCATTTAATTTAGTTCTTGCTTCATTTAAATTTGTTAAGGGAACTGATCGGATAAAAATGTAAAACAATGTACAGTCATAATGAAAAAGAGAGAGTTAAAAAAGAATTACTTCTCTCTAATTAGCATTTTCTAAACATCAAAATGATCATTTTTACTCTACTTAAACAAGAGTACATAGATAAATATTATTTCATAGTGATTCTATCTCTAGATAATGTCTTTATTAATTATTACAGTTTAAATAAGAGAGAACATTTGGTTCACACTTTTTCTGCAATCGACTGTATCGTTACTCTGTTGACGCCATACCAAAAAATAAATTTCTGTCCATCATTAGCATGACTTTTGTGCCTACCGATTCAATTGGTAACGCATCCCATTACTCCTCTTACATGTACAAACAAACCATAAAATTAATGATTTATAATTATTTTCTTCAGTTATGTGAGAGTGGATTACGGCCCATTATGCACCATCAATCAAAATGCTTATTGCGTAAGTCTACAAAATAGTAAGTGTTCTGTTGTACACTGTGTTCAGATAAAACTGTGTCGGGATTGTGTTCTTAAATAAAAATTGAAAATAAACATGCTTGATCCTTTATACAATTACAGTAAAATGCATTAAAACCAATTTTCGAGTTGTTAATGGCAACATAATGAATGCATTAAGTAGTTTCGATCAAAAACTTAAAAACTTCATGGAACATAGTTACACAAAATTTTGTCACAAACAACAAAAAAAAATTAGTAACTAATTTAAGTGTAGTTAGTAACAGATATACAAATCAAAGTTTACATTTCGAATCCAATCAAAATTAACACGGACTAGGTTTCACTTTCAACATGATTATCTAAATATCCTTAGTAGCTTTGATAGTGAGGATTTCTCACTACTCTCAAATCTAAATGTCTGTCCCAGAGTTAACCAGAATCAACTTTCAGTTGAACACCAGAAGGTAAAGTGTTAATTAGTATTGAGCACTCCATTATTGTCAGTATTATTTTCACTACTGATGATTCGTTAGGCCGTTCGAAGTCCATGGTAGGCATCCGACTGCCAATCTGAAGATGAATATGGTAAACATCAGAATGAGCTCAGTTATTTTACAGGTATTTGATTATGATTACATTCTGAGATGACATGGTAAACACCAGTCATTCTTTGAATCCTAGTGTATTCGTTGTTTTGCTGATAACAAATGTAGTAACTAGAACTGTTATATATAATGATCGAGTCATTCGTCTTTATCTTGGTGAGATACACGTCATTGGAATATTTTAAGGTTTTCTGCCGAAATTCATAACGTAATTATTGGCATTTCCTAGAATTAGACAAGATATAAATAAAGTATCTTTGTAGTGAAAGTGTCAAGTAATAAGGTTACTTACAAATAAAAACATACTTGACTTTTATGATAACGAAAACACTGAGTGATAGTGACACAATGTTAGTTTAGGTCACTTCTAGATTTCAAATTCAAATTGTTGGCATGACGTATGTATTTATGATCGATTATTTCACGTTTTAATATCCACATTAAATTCCTGCCAATTTTCTGGAAAATGGATTTATTTATTCATTCACGAAATTCATGAAATTGTAACTCACCTACTGATCATCAATGGAAAAGACATAATTTATGTTAATCCTGACATTTGGCCGATTGATACGACGCTTAAGCAGTTAGATAATACTTCGAATACAACGGTGATATGTTGATGATATAAGAAATCAATACAACACTGTAATCAACCATTTTTCTGTTTTTCATTATTTTCTTACACCATAACAATGTCATTCTATTTTATTGTGTAGACGCTATTTAAACATACTCTTTATGTAATGGGAGATTGCAATGCGACAACGACAATAAACTACGCTTTCCCAACATTTGTTAATATCAGTGGGAGTACAAAGAATTTTACCGGCCAGTCTTTGGTATTGAGTCCAATACCACTTTTCCCAATATACACCAAAGTAAGCTATAATTGATTTAGAAATAATTTCAACATGTTATTACTCAAACCGTTTCTTATTTCTATTTGTTTTACACAGTTCCGATTTAGTTATGTTTTACGTAAAATTATTACATAATGCGAAGACAAATCTACAGATAATCCAATAAAATAGAATCTTAGTTTTCCAAGTTCATCAATGATAACTACAGGATAAGAAGCATTGGTTTTGAGAAGGGTTCTGTTTTGGGCGAATTCATTTTTAAAGCTGTACAACCGCAAACATTTACTTATTTTTCAAAGTGATCATAACTACAATAGTAGAGATAATAAAATTTTGCTGAACGTGGTAACAGTGAGGTAAAATAAACATGTTTTTTACTAAAGAAAAGATAATAATACGTTTGGTGAAACCTTGAATATTCATCATGAAGATAAATAAAGAAATTATAATTTGATGGGGAAAGCTCAGCATGATAAGATAAAATGCTGAAATTGAGATGAATTGTATTTAGTAGGATCATAGAAACAGAAAAAATCAAGGGTCTGCAGTGAAGATAGAAGTGAAGTAGATGATCATGAAAGAAGGAACGAATAAAAAGTTACGAGAGATTAAGGTCATGGTACACACACATACACAGCAGATGTTTCTGCGATGCCAATACAACTGTCTCTGACAGCTTTCCACTTACCTTGTAAATAACTTTGAACGCAGAGTCAATTTGCATTGAATGACCTGTGTTCACAAGGTGTTCAATTGTTGAGCTTCTTATTAAGCCATTTTCGCCTCTTTTCAGACAGTGTTCTTGAATTCGTTTGGATGAAATACTCATCGGACGACCAAAATACCTGGCTCCACATCAACAGGTAAATTGACAGACAGAAATGGAACTAGTCGAATGTGATAATTTATCTTTGAGATTGTTACTGAACATTGGTCGGTTAGAGAACACTAGTCACAAAGTTATTGCGATAAATATTCTGCTGAGAGAGTCGAGAATTACCTTCTTTAGGATGCTTGTAGCTATATCACCTTTGAAATCGATCTTCATGTAAAGAGTTTTCTTTGGTAAGGAAGCAAGTTGCGCTTTGGGAGATTTGAGTTTTATATTCGTTTCAATAAATACCGATGGAGATCCGTTTTCTACAGTTATTCTCTTTAGATGGTTCATTTCGTTATCTATGAACTCGAGACAACAAATTCTTAATTTCTGTGTAGCAAGGTATTTGATTCAATATTGCTTTCGAATGATGTAGATCCAGGTGTGAAGGCTTTATTGCTGGTCATTCCATGAAGGTTTCTAGTAGATAGAACTTCTTACAGTTTCATCATGATTTACTGTCACTGTGACATGAAGAAAGTCAATACTTTGTTTATTTTCAACTCCTAGTGTGAAATTTATCGCTGTGTGGTAAAAATCAAATGTTTGCAGAAGATGATTAATCAAAGAATATTTGTTGATTCAAATCATAGAGACATCATTCACATACCTTTTATATTAGTGGGAGTTGTCAATAGTTGCTTTAAGTTCATTGTTTTCCAGATTGGACACAATCTGCTAGTAATCGGTCAAGAGAGGATCCCATTCCTGTGCTATCTTTTAGTCTATAAATTACGTCGCTAAATTTAAAGTGTACATCACAAGTGCATCGTCATATTAATTCCTTTTAGTAAGATTTTTATAGCGCGATATTAATCCCATAATCATTTATAAAGTTAATAGTCTTTGTGAGTAGGGAATTGATGAATACTAACTGAACATCAAGTAAAAGGATAAGTTGGTCATTTATATTCACTTATTGTATGTAATCAATAAATTCAGGAGTGTCATGTAGAGAATGTATACAAATATGTTTTCCTATGAGTTGCAGGCAATCTCTCAACCATTTTGCTATACAGTAGTAATGGGATCCAAACCTATCAAGAACTATTCGGAGGAGTATTGCAGGTTATAAAGTTTAAGCAAAACATATATTCATGATGTTGTCGATCCTGTCGACTCTGTGAACTCCCAGGTATCTTCAGTAACTACAAGATCATTTAAAACGTTGACATACTTTGTCATAGACTGAATTAAGATCACTTGCCAGTTTTATTTTTTGATGATATTCTTCTCCACACGTCTCAAACAATCAATTTCACCAAACTATGTGATATAATGAAGTTTCGAGTGATATTTTACGATCATGTAAGATGGAATTTATGCTACATAACAAACAGATGTACACGATTTGTAAGATCATCCATTAAACAAAACTTGTGAACGGTAGTTCCATATTAACAGAAATTGATTATACTATTTAAGGACAACACAGACCATGAAGTATAGAACAATCACTGTATATCATGTTAAACAGCAAAATAGGAATGAAGCCCATAATAACTGGCGAAATAATATCAACTGAGTAGAGAAAGCATATATTACTTCTCGATCACCCAATATATAAGCAAAGTAATCAAAGTATACTTTTCAACATAAAACTGATGAATTACTATAACATTTCTCGATAAACTGTCACTGAGAATGATTAAACATGCTTCTAAACTACATTAATTGGTTGAAGGTTAAGACCATGAATTCTAACGATGAATTTTAACAGTCAGAAAATAGACTCGGATTGTAACTTCCACTTATTCGTCTTAAATACATTGATATTATTTGAAATTAAATGTCTATGCATAAACCTAGGTTGAGATATTGAACAAACCAGAAAAATCACATAATACTTCAAGTCTGTATCTGATATCAGATGCAACGGTCGGA